AGCACGGGTCTTTGAGGAGATACGAAGCTCTAACCCTCTTCAGAAGCGGGACAACGACGGGCCATGGTCATTTTCACGTGATGCTACGTATTTTTAGGATTCATTCAAAAAACTATGGCAGCTCGCAACGTAATATAAGCGGTGTAAATGGCTTGGGTGATTTTTTGTGTAATAGTCAGTATTATATCGGTGGTCATGACAACGATGAGATAGAGCTTCCACACCGCGGCCGATAAAACACGTTTATTATAGCCAGCTACGCAGCACTTGGGCTTTCCACTGTCATAAAGTTATTAACAATAAATGCTGCTCGTATAATACCTGCTTTTACGCCCACGAACAGCACTTGTTCACGCTAAAGGTTAAAAGTGATCCCTAATTGGAATTTTCGCGTTTGTGTATCTGTTAGGTACTGTTAGGACCATCAGTCTATTGCTAGTGCTCCCATTTATTTTTCATGGTCATTTGCACGTGATGCTACATATTTTTCGGATTTATTCAGGAAATTATGGCAGCTTGCACGTCTTATAAACGTCGTGAGTCATATCTATTTCACATTTGAAAAAAAGAAGGATTGTGCCCGAATTTTATATTCACCATAGACAACCTCCCATCGACTAACAGATCTTGAATTTATTTTCTGTTATTATTATTACTTACAATTCACACCGAACATTTTTTTATTTACAATTCTCATCTAGCAAGTCGCGTAACGATATCAACACGGTTGTACAGTGTAATATGATAAATATGTTCAATCGGATTACGATATACCAGAGCATGTTTCCTATTAGCGACATACACGCGCCATCATAGTAAAAGCGCGTTAAACGCTGAAACGAGTAAATCGTCAACGCGTTAAAATATTAGTAAGATCGACGATGCACACCGCACGCGTATAGTCATACAAAATATATCAGCGCCCAATGTGTTTTGATTATTACGCATCAATAGTGAAGAAAACTCCCCAGGGTGAGCGATGTTACGCAATAAGAGCCGCTTGATGTATTAATAGCCTTGTAAATAAGACCATTATCCGATGCCGAGACGGGAAATCCATTTTTAACAAGATTTTACAATAGTATTGATCGCGCAAGCGTACAGCGTACACATATATATTTTCAGCCGCTCGGTATTATTGCACGGTAAATGTTTCACCCATACACGGTAACAATAGACGAAGAGGCAAAAAAACAAACAATAACTGGCAACACAGCAGAATAACTGGCAAAAACTATACGCAAATAGTTTTAGCCGCGCGATATGAAAGCTTTCATTGGATATCAACTGTTCTGGTATTTTCGTATTCTCTGCTATTGAAACATGCACATCAGGTTCTTTATGCGTGTAGCGAACGCAAACATGGCGGACACGGCGCTTTTAGCTCCCCCTGGGGAGCGAGTGTATTCAAACAGTCTCGCCGCTCATGTGCCAGCCTTAAAGGTTCGCAATTTCGTAGTTAACCTAATTGCGATTTGCGTGCGCACAACTCCGAAATTATATTGGACCGTAGCAAAACAGGCCGAATCTAATTATGGAAAAGCCGGCTACACGAATAATTATTGAAGAATTGAGCGAAACGTTATCGCAAAGTTGAACTAATTGAATTCGAATTGAAGTATTGCTGTGAGTAATAACGATAGACGACGTGTATGCGAGTAATAACGATAGACACTTGCATACACGGCGCGTATCGCGTATCTAAAAGCAATCCTGTTTCCCAAGCGGTTTTGTCGCTATTCAACATATTATACATCGTCAGTGCAAACATGTTGCTACTGCATACACGGATTGTCCATTCCCTAAAATGGAAAAAAATTCGTATATCATTATAACTCATATATATATATATATATATATATATATATATATTATTAT